GTAGTAGATAACAATATCTAGTCATAAAGATGTTGTTAGATGATAGTAGTAGATAACAATACCTAGTTATAAAGATGTTGTTAGCTGATAGTAGTAGATAACAATACCTAGTTATAAAGATGTTGTTAGCTGATAGTAGTAGATAACAATATCTAGTCATAAAGATGTTGTTAGCTGATAGTAGTAGATAACAATATCTAGTTATAAAGATGTTGTTAGCTGATAGTAGTAGATAACAATATCTAGTCATAAAGATGTTGTTAGCTGATAGTAGTAGATAACAATACCTAGTCATAAAAATGTTGTTAGCTGATAGTAGTAGATAACAATATCTAGTAATAAAGATGTTGTTAGCTGACAGTAGTAGATAACAATACCTAGTTATAAAGATGTTGTTAGCTGACAGTAGTAGATAACAATATCTAATCATAAAGATATTGTTAGCTGATAGTAGTAGATAACAATATCTAATCATAAAGATATTGTTAGCTGATAGTAGTAGATAACAATATCTAGTTATAAAGATGTTGTTAGCTGATAGTAGTAGATAACAATACCTAGTCATAAAGATGCTGTTAGCTGATAGTTGCAGATAACAATACCAAGTCACAACTATCTGGGAGACTAGTATGGTGACAAGTGGGAAGAGAAGAGACAAATATTTTAATGAAATTAGACATGTGGATGAACAGATGAAAAACAGAACTCCACTGTACGGATAAAGAGAAGTGGAAAGAAGCATTTAAAAGAAAAAAAAACAACTGGTTTTCATTATTTTATATTTTGTTGTGAAGACAAAACTTGATCTATAAACAACATTCATAATTTACAAAGTTAAATAATTAAGTGAAATAAAATAATTTCCAATATCAATTGCACAAGATAATGTAATGAATTTTTTTTGCAATCTTGATCCATTCAAAATAATAATAATCAATTTTGAATTCAAATCTGTACTAGCTTGTATAAATGTGGCATCTTAGTTTATATTGCACAAATCAAAAGCAAAATAAAAAGGCAGATATAAGGTGGGACAAATGCAAAATGTCAATGCTCTAGCTTGTAGGAATTTTGACTACCTTACATGAAAATAAAAAATGTAAAATTTAAGAATAATACAGATACATGTTTGACCCAGTGACAGTCAGCCATATCTAACTCTTAGAGTGAACACAAATTTCAAAGTCTCAAACATGGCCAATTAGGGTGTATTTTTTAAGTTTTGTTTTCTATACAATGGAAGAATGGCCTAAGATATAAATATAAAAATATTCTTATATATTCTTAATATAAATGAATCATGCTTATTATCGCAATAAATCTTATCGTTGGATGAGTATCATTTAGTGTATCGAATCACAACTTCAAGAATCGTTTCAGCCCTGATTTTGTTATTGTAAACAAGTGGTTGTCTAGCAAGATACGCCAACTTTTCTGATACATTTTTAGAATATAAAGGGCAATATCTGTGTCAAATCATACCAAAAATTAAATTTGTGCAAGATATTGTTGATTTAAACAAAGACACATTATTTAATAAAATTCAGACATAAACTGTCACCTCTATCGCCAACAAAGTTTTTACTAAGTCAAGGGCAATAACTCAAAACTCCGTTGATCAAAAAATTGCCAAATTCAATCTTGACTAATATTACATCATTATAAATGATCATACCAAATTTCATTTAAATCAGATGAAAACTGTACTCTCTATTGTCTTCACAAATAAATATTGACGCGTTTTTCATAAGTCAAGGGCAATAACTCAAAAACTATTCATCGAACTTGTCCAAGATCTCATCATTATAAATATTCACACCAAATTTTATTTAAATTGGATAAAAACTGTCTCTATTGCGTTCAAAAGCCAATTGTGGCCAGATGGGCCGACGGACGGACAGACGGTCAGGAGTGACGACAATTTACGACCACATTATAATGTGGGCGTATAAAAATACAGACAATGTTATTGGTGGGGGATACGTTAATACAGCAAGGGTGAATTACCTTCACAATAAATTGAAATACATCGAAAATAGATTATGTTTCAATGAGGAGTTATGAAAGATATTTCATAATCTTTAAAAATTCTTAATCTTTTTTCATTATTATTTTTGTCCATCTCCAATGTAATCTAAAAAGATTTATACTAAAGTCGCGTAATGTTGACTTTCACTTCAACCAATCACAGTGTGTTATGCATAATCTGAGTCTAAATTCTAACTATGAAATGTAGGATAGTGAAACCCAAAGACAAGTGATATGACCAATGAGATTATCAGACTGCTGATAATCGGAAGTATAAGTGATTGGCAGGAGAGTGTCGTTTGATGGTGTTATAATAGCTTGAAACCTAGCCAGTACGTGACCTGGGTATAAAACTCGCTAGATTACAACGGAGACCAACAACAAAAACAAAATATATAATAAAACGAAATTGTAATCTTATTTTAATTAAAATGGGTATTTCAGGGTCAATTCTTTAAATCATGGACAGGGCTCTCATAAAAATACAGATTAACATGATAAATGTGTAGACAAGTGCTTCATAAAAAATAGTGATTCATAAGGTACAGAAATATATACTTATGATGCTGGCAATAAAACCATCTCAAGATTGAAATATGAAAAAAAAAGACATCATCTTACCTATAAGAAATTAAAGAAAAATGTGCATAAAAAAAATAATGATTGATGCCAAGCCTGAATCATTATAGGAATACCTGAAATAATTCTTAATTTTCAAAAAGAGGGAAATTTACAAGGACATTTTTGTGTTTCCTGACCTTTTTCAAATGTTTTTGCACTGATTGGTGATCCAATGTTGAAAAGATGACAGACTTGGAATTACCATGAAATCAATATCTACATGTGTTTGAGAGGGTTAACTAATTAATAAATATATATATATGATGATGCTCGATCTGTGAGTTCTGCCCCTTCCTGCTGTTCATGATACATGGAAGCAACCAGAAGATCAATAAAATACCTTGAAACGGGGTTCAAAATCAAATCATATTTGCCGCAAAAGGAAGGTGAAAGGAGAACTTTAAAGACAAAGAAAGAAATACAAGGGTTAACTTTTAATGTGACATATCTGCTTTTGTACAGTTTGATTGGAACAGGTTCAGAACTCACCAATCAAGCAACCACCTTAATGTACACAGTCTCCACCATAAAGGGAGATAATCATGTGGTGTAAGTTTACAATATTTACAATAAATAAAATTCACTATCTAGTTTCAATTAAGTAAGTTTTCATTTCTGTTGCCTAACAATTACATCTGATAAAATACAAGATCAATTTTCAATTTAAAAAGCACATCTGACTGTTTTGTTACAGGCTTTTTCTGCAGGTTACTACACTTTCCATCTTTGATCTGTCAAAATTTGTCTGTGAATCATGTTCAGTTTAAAGTGGCCCTTAAGCCAAAGCCATCACCAGTTGCATATGGTTGCGAATAAGAAAAGCTCGCATAAGTTTTGAATGCAACTCTCGTAACTCATATCCATTTTCATTATTCGCAGTCAGATGCAAATGGTGATCTCTATGGAATGAGGGTACCTGTCTAATGGTGTTTGATGATTAAAACTATGTTTGAATATAAGTAAGTTCCTTGAGTAATTAACTTGATCAATATATTATAAATATAAATACTAGCACATGTATAATAAAATACAAAACAATAAAATGCATTCCAACTGAAAGAAGGGAAATAGCCTTAATTTACGCTTAATCGGTGTATAGAACTCATGAAAGAAAGAAACCACTATATTTTACAAGTTTAACAAATTAGGTTCACAGTTAAGGATCCTTTCTTCCAGCTAGTCCTTGGCCAAACCTCTTGACATTGATCTTTCCAGGATTATCCATACCCATTTACAGCTGGGTCAACTGGAATTATAAGTGAAGATGACTTATTCAAGGTCATTGGATTTTTACTCGCCAATCGAGATTGGAACCCACAGTCATGCATATAACATCATCTAAACAACCAACACTCAAATCAACTGTGCTAAAGTGCAAACAATACCAAGGACCTTACTTTCAAAACTAAGTTTAATTGATTTTAGTGTTCCAACCATCAATATTGATTTAAATTGAACATTATAACTAAAGCAAATTAATCTTTTTCTTAAAATCCAGATTTTACTTCAGTTAAGTTTCTAGAATAATACACCTAAAATTAAAATAGATCTGAAAATGAATAAGAACTTTAACATTTATTGCACCTGTAGGATTAATCCAATTATAGTTTTTTCAAATTGTATATGAACCTGAAGTAGAATCTTCAATCTGAAAAGTGTTCATATTCATTTCTACTACTTAGGTTGTTATTCTTAGGCTGACATGGTAATAAATTTTCTCCAAAACTTAAAAAAAAAAATTCAGAATTTAAGAAATACAGTAATCTGACAAAACTTAATTTAAAATCAATTTCAATGATTGACCAATCAGGTGACTGGAACACTAAAATCATCTAAAGTAAAGTTTTTAAGAATAAGGCCCCTGAAATACTTAAAACAAATCTCTGACTTCAATCAAATACTATTTACACACATGATCAGGGGCCTCTTATGAAAATTTCAGTCAGGTGTCTGGATTGCACCTATTCTTTACAACACAAAATCTCATTAATCATATATATAAATTTTAAATTATTCTACACTGTTATCTCTATCTATAACTTATATCTATGTCTTTATAGTTTATTATTTATCAATGTCCTCATCTACTTATACTCATCTCTTGCAAGAAAGTAAGTTTTGTGTATATATCAATTAAATTATACTATCTTCTTTCAGATGATCGTGATGTGTCTTTACCATCAGATTATAATAACTCCTTTTCCTTATTTGTCCATTTGACCATGTGCTCAAGACTATGACTCAATGTGTTCAAGACTATGGCTCCACGTATTCAAGACTATAGCTCCATGTGTTCAACACTATAGCTCCATGTGCTCAAAAATATGGCTCCATGTGTTTAAGACTATGGCTCCATGTGCTCAACACTATGGCTCCATGTGCTCAACACTATGGCTCCATGTGCTCAAAACTATGGCTCCATGTGTTTAAGACTATGGCTCCATGAGCTCAACACTATGGCTCCATGTGCTCAACACTATGGCTCCATGCACTCAACACTATGGCTCCATGTGCTCAACACTATGGCTCCATGTGCTCAACACTATGGCTCCATGTGCTCAACACTATGGCTCCATGTGCTCAACACTATGGCTCCATGTGCTCAACACTATGGCTCCATGTGCTCAACACTATGGCTCCATGTGCTCAACACTATGGCTCCATGTGCTCAACACTATGGCTCCATGTGCTCAACACTATGGCTCCATGTGCTCAACACTATGGCTCCATGTGCTCAACACTATGACTCCATGTGTTCATGACTTTGGCATCAATGAATTCATTGTGCCTTCTTTCATCACTGGCCAACTTTATAACATTATAATCTAGAAACATCAAGCGAATATTAATATCAATAAAAAAAGAGTGTACAGTAGAAGTGCAGTACAGCTGATTCAGTTAAAAAATATGTTACAACTTTCAGATCAATATCTCTGACTTTTAAATAGAGGGTGACCTGAAAAGTCTCTCCATACATACACATTTTATCTTATAATCCAACTCCAACTATTTCTTAAATATGTTACCATTAGCTTGATAAAGATGAGAGTATCTGGTCGTGACTTCATATTGTCAAATAAAGCCATAATTGTTATCCATTTAATGTTGTGATTAAATTCCACACTTTATTTGTCTTTACAGTAACCATTAATTTTACTATCACCACTACCATTAAATTGACTGAATTTTATTTTACTCTTGCTCTCTGTTGACATCAACCATGGCTCTTCTTCACTAAACTCGTGTTTTGATCCACTGTCAAAATACTGGGCTATCCAAGCGTACAGTTTGCCCAAGGTTGGGATGAGAATGATTTGATGGGAGATTCCACACAGTCTATAGTATGGTCCATGAAAAGGATCTGATATGGCTGGACATAACATATTATTCAAATTCACATAGGATAGCTGAAAAAAACATTAAAAGAATTGTAAAGAAGTTTCCTAAACTGTTTACGTGTATCAGGGACACTGATAAATGAGGCATTGCAAGTACCACAGAGGTCTGATTGAAAATTAGGATGATACACTTACAAATATGACAAAATTTCATATAAAAGAGAGCTTTATTGGCTGATAAGTTGGTATTCAAGCAATCTGTTGTTCACCACATAAACAATGTAAACAATACTTACTTGAGCTAAAGTTGGTAAACAATAATTAGTATTAATTACTAGAGCTAAAGTTGGTAAAGGCAGGTAAACAATACTTACTAGAGCTAAAGTTGGTAAAGGCAGGTAAACAATACTTACTAGAGTTAAAGTTGGTAAAGGCAGGTAAACAATACTTACTAGAGCTAAAGTTGGTAAAGGCAGGTAAACAATACTTACTAGAGCTAAAGTTGGTAAAGGCAGGTAAACAATACTTACTAGAGTTAAAGCTGGTAAAGGGAGGTACACAGTACTTACTGGAGCTATAACTTGTAAAGGGAGGTAAACTATACTTACTAGAATTAAAGTTGGTAAAAGAAGGTAAACAGTACTTAATGGAGTAATAACTTGTAAAGGAAGGAAAACTATACTTACTAGAGCTAAAGTTGGTAAAGGAAGGTAAACAATACTTACTAGAGCTAAAGTTGGTAAAGGAAGGTAAACAATACTTACTAGAGCTAAAGTTGGTAAAGGAAGGTAAACAATACTTACTAGAGCTAAAGTTGGTAAAGGAAGGTAAACTATACTTACTAGAGCTAAAGTTGGTAAAGGAAGGTAAACAGTACTTACTGGAGCTATAACTTGTAAAGGAAGGTAAACTATACTTACTAGAGCTAAAGTTGGTAAAGGAAGGTAAACAATACTTACTAGAGCTAAAGTTGGTAAAAGAAGGTAAACAATACTTACAAGAGCTATAATTTGTAAGGGAAGGAAATGGTATGCTATTAAATATCCTAGAGCTACCATAGTCCAACTAAAATCACCAAGCTGTTCTGGAATGTACACTCCTGATAAAAAGAAATAAATTAATTCATTACTCAATATGAATAGTTGTTTGTTACCATAATATACAATGAATGATATCCAGGCCACATATCTTGAAACAATCTTAGCGCTAGGATATCCAAGAAACAGTGACCCTAGGTCTTAGAGAATATGAAAGCCAGGACAGCGTTTTAACAACCTCTAAGACCTCCAGTTGCCAGAATAATCCCATTGTAGTAAAGACTAAACATAACCATAAGATTAAACAAGGGAAATACTGGGCACAGATCTTCGATAAACTAAACAATAAAACAAATTCTACACAAAATAGTACAAGCAGTCGCCAAACACAAGTCCATGCCACAGAAGATAATTTTGACTTTACCAGGAAGAATTGATTATAACTGCAGATTGTAGGGCATTCCGATGGAAATGTGAACAAACAGACACAAATGGATGAGAGTAATATACATTCACACAGGGAAATGTGGGCAGTTGGTGGACTAGGGGGGTTGGAGGCAATTGCCCCTCTACAAAAATGGTTTGTACCCTAAAATGAACCCTCACTACATTTCTACAAAATATAAAAATATTATTTCTGTATGTTTTTGGTCTAAATTATGTCAGAATGAACCTAATACATTCTATTTTCAAAAATTTTCAAGCTGGAGAAATTCTCAGAGGCTTCATGGCAGGTTTGCGTCTATGCATTTCTACAGAAATGTCGCATTTTTAATCTCAACCTTGGTCGGTGTCCCTTCATTACATTCAACCTGCCCCAGTAAACCGCAACTGAATGTGGGCATATATAAAGAGCCAATCCAATATTAAAGGCAAGGTATGAAACTACTCACCTCCCATTCTCATCAAATAAAATGGTATGACTAACATTAATATATGTTGTATATAATATGTCTCAGCTTCAAACGCCAACTACAACACATTTCATACAACTAAATTAATACATTCAAAAGAAAATCATCAATCAACATGTAAATAATACACTGTATGAGAAAACAGAGAAGTACAGAGGTAGAGAGGGTATGGGTGGATTTGAATACATAATTGAAAATAAACGCATTTCTTAACTTTGGTCGTGTTTCAAAGGTGAGGCATTTATCTCTTAGTCCTCCATTAAAAAGATGCCTTGGAAGATCATTTCCATACATATTGCTGATTCCAACTTTCCTAGGTAAAAACCCAAAACTAGTAACCTACAGGGGGTCTCAATTTAATTAAGACAATAGCAATAGATTCAGGGTCATTAAAAAATAAATAAACATACCAATCTAGTATTTATAACAGGAAAGAAAAGAGCTATAGGTGCACCAGTTAACATATGCATATGAAGTCGAAATATACCAGTTACATGTTTACTTGGTGGAGCTGCTAATAAATAAATCTGAAAGACAATATATTATTAAATGAAAGAGAGCTTTGGAAGTACATCAATCAGTGTGCAATGAGGGAAAGACAGCAGCATAAACTCACCCTTTTTTATTTGGGAAATTAAACATGCACAGCCAGTAGCACACAACACCTCTGTTTATTGTCCATTCTGCCTATTATCAAAATGAAATTTAACTAACTGGCTTAATTTAATAATTAAATATACTGCTTATGGGATACTTATCTTATAATCGAAATGAATCATAATAGTTACCTGAATTATAGTGGCCATGTGGCATGGATTAAAAATCCAGATCATCTGTCGAGTAGCAAACTTAAATCCTAATTCAATTCCAAATGTTAAACACATTATCACCAACATAACCCGTTTTCCCCAGTAGTTCATTTCACGATCCAGAGCATCTTTACCAACAAGTGGAACTTTTAAATTGGGGTAAAACTTCCATATTAAATACACAGCTAATAATAATGATAATATACTTTCTATAATTCTTTGAGTTAAAGGAAGAAACTCTGAACATTCTTTCCCTCCATTTCCTGGTAAATCAAAATTCACACCAGAAAGAATAAAGTCAAATCTCTCAGTGAATGTTTTATTTTTAGATGTTAAAATATCCACCATCTTTGTGATAATACAGACTAGATCTACACTCTAACACCTGAAATTGAAAGTAGAGTAGAATCAAATGTGAATCATGCAAGTGAGAGGAAAATGCACTAATCTTGTCTTGAAGCGTGGGCACACATAAGATTTTACTCCAGATTTGTGTCGCTGACAAATATCAGCAACAAAGACCGTTTGGGTGCATAGAGCATTACTCCACAATATCTTTGTTTCTTATCAACTATCACTTGTATCAGATCACACTATTAGATGATCCCTTTTCTCTTTAAACATTTATCATATTTCAATAATATTAAAGGGTTGTGAAGAAGATATCTGACTTTTTATCTGTACAAGGAAAACAGATATCATCATGTGCATCATTCCAATTAGACATCTGTAGTTGCTGCAATTCCAGTGTCATTATTGAGAAAGCTGCTAATAATATCTAAAACCTTTTTGATTGTGACACCATAAAACACTATGATATGATAAACCATTATTATTGGAATAATTTCTGATTGTTTATTATTTATATCTATACATATAAAATAATAATAGGAAGATATTGATTAATTATAGGTTATTTATAAATAAAACTTGAATAAACAATAAAGATAATTATATAGGTACATTGGTTTCTATAATAACAATAATCAAAACTTAATTATGTATACTAAACCATCATTAAAATCAATTATACACATATGTATACTAATACCAGTACTGTAATATCAAATTATGATTTTAATATTTTTGTACTATCAGTTCTATCAGAGGATAAAACTGGAATTTACCAATTGAGAAGAATTTTTCTTACTGCTGCTAATGTATATTTCAAAACTTTACAGATCACACAGAATTTTTTTTGAATTTGAATAATAATTTTGTAGTATTTTGTCTAATGAAGCCATTCACCAAATAACATATGACAACTTTTTATAAATAAATATATAACTATTCAAATTTAATTCAAATCCAGCAAGAATTGATCCTTCTAGAGTGTTCACAAGCATTTTTGAACCGAGGTCAATATATTCTCAATATTTCATGTGGGCATATAAAAAGATCTATATCAAAATAGTTCTACCTTATTTCTGTACTGTATAAATGTATCAATATACAGAAACCAGAGATAACTAAGTGTATTAAATTATGACCAGTGTAACTACAGTGGTGTACCTATTGTCTTACCTTGTTACACAATCTATTACAGTAGTGTATTTACAGTTATTCATATCATCAGTAATACATATTATATAAGATTACTGAATAGGGGGTTATTTATATCATTGTCTAACAAAGTCAAAGTTCAATCCTGTATCAAACTATAA